GTCCTTTTTCAGTAGATAGTAAGTCTTTTAGTAAAATAGCAATCAATTGTATATATGACTGAGATTGGCACGTTTTGATTTTCTAAACACATGTAATTTGGCTACAAAACACTGTTTGCTGCGATGTCGACCCATTTACGTATACAATACGCGGCTTTGTGCATCTTAAAGCATAGACAGACGGCAACGTTGATCGAGATAAACTCGAAAATTCGGAATTATCTCGGAATTTAACTATAATTTATTCGGATTAAGTGCTCCAGCTAATCCTCAAAATTTATGCGGACCAATTTGAAGTGGCAACACTGACAAAAAATCAGAGCACGCAGAATACAGAGAAAATGCAAAACAAACATGGACATCTACCTTGTCGTTTGTGATGCAGTCATCATACTATGTAGTTCAGATAGGAATCCAATTTAAATTCAATAAGAACTTATTAGAATTTAATTGAATTTGGGCTAGTTTTGCATTTTATTTACCGTGGATTTTTGATAAGTTTTTGTTGGCGAAAATGTTCATATGGCCCAAAACGCGGACTGTTACATTACATTTTGGCTAACATTGATTTTCAAATACCACTGAAACTCAATATAATACAACTTTCGGATAGTTTTTTTTTTTGAGTCTGAAAGCTTAAGTATGTGGTTATATTTAATATATATGCAAAATATATTGTAACTCCTCTTGTTGAGGAGTTAAGAATGTTTCAACAATGAACAATTAATGTTTTCATTACAAATTTTGGAAGTACTTTTTAAAGCTGCTTTATATTATCGAAAAAGTCTGCTCTCCTAATATAATATTTTCAAAATTTGGTACGCAGTTTCCTAGCTTAAGGATGGAACTAAAGAGCTACGTATTAATTGAACTGATAAAATTCATTTTGAGGTCAATATTTGCCAAAAATAGTCGAACTGTTACGTTACAGAAAGAGACTGTTACGTTACCTGTGTGATAGATGTCTAGCGATAAGATTAAAATTAAGTTTTTAAAGTATTTTATGCAATAAGTAGCATGAATTTAGTAGATTTGTGATTTGACGTGTAATCTTAAGAAACTAACAACATGATAATTATGAATACAGATACGAAATTTTCTGATGTTGTGCAGCTGTAGGTCGTTTCGGAAATCATTTTCAACGTAGAACTCGAACTCGAGCTTAGAACTGCGCCAAGATGTTGAGGTTTTTCGAGGTTAATAGCAATTTTTGTTTGCTGTTGTTTGTTGGCTCAAAATGCGCCATTTGAGTGGTGCTTAAAGATTATTCCTTGAGAAGCTATGACCATTAAAAATGACATAGAAAGCATATGCTTGGTTTGGCGGTGTTTTTATGTACATATTTATAGCACCATTCGAGAGTGGATTTTGAAGGACAACATTAGTACTAGGAAAACAGGCGAAATAGTTCCAGCAGACTTTTTTTATTTAATCGGGAAATTTTATTCTTCTTATTTGAGCTTCTTATTTCACTCCTTGTTGTTCTTTGTTGTTGTTCTTTTTTAAATAACCTAATCCTATCGTTATTTTATTTTTCTACTAATACTTATTTTCTGAGCCTATGTAAGTAAAAAGGAATAAACATCTTAATTAAAGGACAATAACACGCCGAATAGCTTTAAATAATGCTTGCAAAACGAGCCCTCTCTAACTAACAAAAAAAATTTTACCTGAAAATTCAATTAGTAAAAAAATCTCTTATGTTACAAAAAGTTTTCCACCTAAAACACATATGTAGATAAAGAAGAATACGAGGATATCTTATTTCATTATGAAAGAAGGCCGAAAATACTCGAAGAAAACTAGACTTTCCCATTTTTTAACCTGGAGAATTCGCGCCAAAAAATTGTTTCATATTTTGAACTGTTACATTACATTAAAAAATGCTGCCGACTTTATTTTCATATAAGCAGAAGGCTAATAACTGATTTTTTTGTCAAATTCTTTTTATATTTACTCAAAAATAATACAAGGCAAGCGAAGGGAAGCAAGTTTAGTGCGACAAAATGGCGGTCCTTCAATATACACTACCACTTAGTTTCAAGTTGTGATTTTTTAATTTTCGTTAATTTAAAGTTGTCTCGGGATTAAGTGAATTTTCATAATTGAGAGAAGGAGAGTTGTGTTGTCCGATACCTTAGAATATGTATGATCCAGACATGATCCAACATCTTCGAAACCTGAGAAAAAAATACTTCACCTTGGTTTCGTTTTCGGCGATTTGGGCCATATGCTTTTGTAACCAATTAAAAATGTGAAAGGATTTATACAGAGCGCCTTCTATTTAGCAAAGTTTTGAAATAAATTTCTAAAAAGGTGAAATTTCAAAATGTAGTTATTTTATTTTAAAGTCGATGATGTAGTAGAAATGCAATTTAGCAAAACGAAGGGCAAGCTCTACCACAAATGTGGCATAGTCCGAACACTGGCTATTTGCTGTTTCAAACACAAAAAAATATCCTTACAGTTAAAAACCGAATCAGTTAACCAGTTCATTGACTAGTGCGAGCTAAAGGTGGCCTACCAGTTCGACAATTTCGAGCAACTTATGCGATCAGCGACATTTGCTTTTGAGTTTTCAAAGACAAAAATAAAACGCAATTACATAATTGCTTTCCTGACAAATGTCGGCTGTGGCGTCGCGTGAAGGCTACCGGTACTGGCTCTTGAGGTTGCAGGTTTTAGTCGGCATGGCGGTGGCTAAGATTTTCCAAATTAAATCAGTGTAAGTTAATATAATTATTTTCCTTTAAGTATAAATTACAAATTTAAAAATGTAATTTCATAAGAGAAACACAAGAGCTTACCTTAATTAAACAATAAATTGTGCAAGGATTCAGTCAATATTTGTGCTAAACTAGACAAAACCCATTGCCGTGGTTATATTGACATCTAAAGCCATGATAAAAACATAACAAGTTATTCTCAATTTTATATGATTTTAAACTGTTGGCAAACGTCAGAAAAAAATCATGGCCGACGAAATGAGAGAATGAATTTACCTTGTAATGTTTTTATCATGTCTAAAACTATCAGGAGAAGCTCGGCCAAACACTAACATATCGAGCCCTAACCGCCAAATTAACGTAGGCGACATTTTTTTCAAAATTTTCTTTTTGATGCAGAATTATTCCTAGAGCATCTAGATACATTTCTGCATCAAAAAGAAAATTTTGAAAAAAATGTCGCCTACGTTAATTTGGCGGTTAGGGCTCGATATGTGTAAGCGCCAATCTATTATTATTATTATTATTATTAAAACTGTCATTTGCGTCAAATAAATTAAATTAAAAATTCTTTAATTATTGGAAAACGAATTCTTGCCTGACCTTCGATAATGAATGGTGTAAGAGAGTGGTATTCGGTAGCATAACTTGCCCATTCTCCAGCGTAACGGAGCATCCTTTATCCAATGTATTTTACCTCCGTTGTAAATTCGAAATACAGCCCATTCTCGAAAAAAATTTTGTGGAAGAGAGCTTACCTTTCTTTTAGAGAATGGGACTCACCACGTTTGAGGCCATGATATATCTTAATTTAATCGTTCGGTATGTAGCTTTATACATTAAAATTAAGGAATGACGACCTTTGTTTTTAAAAACATCACGTTTGTGACTATTTTAAATAAGAAAGTGCCAAAAACATAATTTTGGGTTAGGCCACTTCTGCTCTCGCGGCCTCATTTATTTCTCGCTTTCTACATTTCCATTTCATTTTCGAACAAAAGTGATTTATAAATATATGTAAGCGTCAAACACTTATAAGATATTTGGTTTAAAAATCTTTCAATAAACTTTTTGCTATAAACATTTATTTTAAGCTTGTAGAAGTAAACTGATTGCAAGCTTACTTCAAAAGCTGCTTTAGAAATGCTTATTTGTTTGATCAGATTTCAACTCTTAAAAGCTTTTGAAAGCAAAGCAATCTGATTTTTCTTCAGTTTTCGCGTTTGCTCTAAAAATACATGGAAGTGTATTTTTCTTTATCGGGCATTTGCACGAAGCGATTTTACAGGCAACAAAAGTTGAATGCGAATTTGAATGAGAAGTTGTAAGTAAAAAAGTTGCCATCCCTATTCACACGAGGCGATTTTCGATTCAACACGAATTGTTATTTACATTATTGAAAATGAATTTAAATAGCAATACAGTATATTTTGCTTAGCTGCAAATCCTTCTTTTCACGAAAAACTTGTGCACGTAACCGAAAAAGGCACTTAAGCGAATTTTCTTTACTACTTCAATGAGGAAGGTATCCGAATCTCTATGAAACCTAATATTGGCGGAGCACTTACCATGTAGAAATTACTGCAAGCGAAATTTTTACCGAATGTTATCTAATTATCTATATAAATACATAAATTGATAGCCATTTTCGTTGTTCTGCGAGATGAGCAAAAAAAATAAAAGGTTGTAAAATTAGGTAATTGTAAGGTCAGTGCAGGTAAACGTAATACTTTCATTGATAATTGATACTAGTCGCACAATTTTTAAGGCAGGTATCGCCAATGTGCAGGTATGTTGAATGCATCTATCGGAGCAGTTTCCTTATAAATGTTAAAAATAATGCTTTTGATGCGCATTTTGGGGTAGGTATCTTAAATGTGCACTTAAGCATAGAGGCAGAAAAGCAAAATATACTGGATTTTATCACTTGGCGTAAATTTGGTAAGCCAAGCGTTGGTAGAAGTGCTTTTAGCGAAGCTGAAAGACAAAATAAAAGTAAAATAGAAAAAAAGCATGTACACAGAATGTAAACAAACACAGGGTTGCAAGGAAAAAAAGTTGAACGAGCTCAAAGTTGGCAGGCGACCAACTTTGCTGAAAGCGATTAGTTGAAAGGCCGTTCGGACGAGGCGATTTTTGCTTTCAACTAAAAGTTGTCAAAAATTCTATCACTGGGTGGCCAAAGTTTTGCATTGTATTTGTGCACAGGTTATTTCAACCAATGAAATATTAATTTTTATTCAATCAAATTTTCTAAAACAGGTCTATATTTACCTTCTTATAATTGGCAGTGGCAAAGTAAATCGGCCATCATTTGCGACTGGTGGTGCACTACCTGGCATAGGAACCGTTGATATCACTGGCGTAATGAGCGTTGTCCCTGGTGGTGGCACAAGTCCTACTATTGGGTGAGGAGGAGGCGATGTTGTCGCCGTTAATGCACAGCCATTTAATGGCAACGCACTATAGGGTGGGGGGAAATGCCTTTGTAATAGATCCGGTATCATAGGCCGTAACAGCGTAGAAATTGTTGCAGGCATCGTGGTAGTGGAAGACCCCGCTGAATGTTGTATATTGGATTGCAAATGCATCGCGGCTATACCCGTAATAGGTACTGGTCCAGGAGGCATTGAGTGGTGGTCTTGTGGACGACGTAAGGGAGAAGGCAGATGTAATTGATGTGAATAGGAAGAAGATAGTTGCTGAAGTAGTAGCCGTCGTTCACGTCTGTCGCGACGTCTTTGCACGCGGTTTAAAACTGGTGAGACGGGACCCCGATCGGTTCGCATTTGCGTGGACAAGGTCTCGTCGGTTTGACATTCTGTTGACGTAAACGTACGTGGCTGTTGAGAAATGACGACAGATACACTTGTTGGTGCTGGAGTCTCCACCATTGTCTGCGATAACACTGCTATTGATGGCGTCGATCTTATAAGAGGTATGGTCGTGGAACTATTTGGGACCTGTTGGGTTCGCATTTCCTGACCATGTGACCCAGCATGTGAATTTATACTATTTACACTGTCGGCAACATTTACATTGTTGATCACAAAGCCGTTATTTTTGGCACCACTAACACCAATAATACTACTACAACTATCGCTTTTTCTGACAGTGCATAGCACATTTGGTACTCGACAGACTTGACTGACACTTTTATTGATATTTACACTGCTCACTGGTGTGGTTATTGTTGTGATTGCAGTAGTTGCACTCAACTTGCACGCACTCTTGTTGATTGTGTTAACACTGGAATAATTACAATTGATTACACTAACGCCATTGCCTTTAACCATATTTTTTGGTTGTGCGCCTACATTCAACGGCGTGGCTTCTCCGCCGACGCAATCATTACAATAATTTTTTTCATTATTGCAATTAGCATTGTTTTTATTATTAGTGCAATTATTATTATTATTTTGATCACTGTTATCCGAATTCACGTGTATCGTCAGGCTCGGCTGACTCCGAATGACCGACGAGGCCAACACCGCGACCATTGCGTTATTACTCTTGCTGTCATTTCGAATGACATCAACCACTTCGTCATGGTTGATTTCTTGATTCCTCACATTAGTGGAGCAGTCACCGTTATTATTGTTTGTTTTCTGCAGCAGATTCTTACATCGATCGTCGCTGCTACTTTTCGCCCGACTATTACTGGTCAGACAACCTGTGGTCGCACAGTTGGAGCTAGTTAGAAAGACGCTGCTCGAACTGCCGGCTGGCAAAACTTTAAGCGTATGCACTTGCTGCGCCTGTGACTCCGAGGGTGGAGAACACAATGACGTATTCGCCGCGGCGGGTATGTTGAGCCGCATATTGTTCGTGGATTCAATGATTTTTTTGGTGTCGTTGTTGTTCAAAAATTCACAACCATGGCCGCAAGCACTGTCCCCACTATCACTTTGACTTCGACTAAGCCATTTCTGGCGGCAGTGACTGCTTATGCTGCTTTCATCAGCATCGTTACGAGCGGCCACTAGCGCACTTTCACTCGCCCGAAATTCAGCGTACAAGCGCTCGAGTTCCGCCAAGCATTTATTGGGTGTAAGAGTATCCAGTGGTGAGACGGATGGGTTACGAAGGTTTTCGGAACTTGGCCGCGTCGCTCTTTTGACTTTTGATCTTACACCGCTTAACGTCTTTTTCCATAAATTCGAATACGACGATAAGGTAACTAACGAAGATCGCGAATGATGCGCGCTAGCACGACCGTCGAATGAGCACGTCGCTGACTGAATGATCGTCACTGCATCAACCACTGGTGGCGCAGTACGTCGTTCAACGAAGTGGCTTTCCCAGCGGCTACCACATTCTCTCTCAGCTGTTGTCGCTTTGTCGCTCCAAGCCACGGCAAATAAGTTAGTTATTGTGTTTATTGCAGCAGCGTTCATTTGTCTACCACTGTTGGGGCAACTAACATCCACTGGCATTGTGTTGAGTAGAGCGTCGTTGTTATTGTTACTACAATTCTGGTTGTTTACGATGCTATTGTGTAAATACGAGAGGAGAAAGGGGTTTTGGCTTCTGCTAATGCAGGGAACAGGTTGACTGACCTCCTCTCTCTCGTGTGATATTGGTTCTGATCTTTCATTTCCTTTTATACTGCTATCCGTAACCCCTGTGACTGATGTAGCTATCGCTCGTGCCATTGTGTTTGGTTGTGAGCTGTTTGTGAATTGCGATTGTATGTACTGATGGTACCGTTTTAGTTGGTTTTTCTCTATCGATTCGTTATCATCATCTTCGCCATGGTTATTGTTGGTAATGTTGTACTTTTCAGTTTGTTGTGATCGGCCATTCGTCAGCTGCATTTTGTCGCCCCACTGCAACGTAGCCCCTGCTCTTGCCTCAATGCTTTGTTCATGCGTTGCAACTTGGACATTGTTGTTGAAATGGACAGCGAGTTCCAAGTTAATCTGACCCGTTGCCTGAAGGGAGTCCTGAGATAAAAAGAGAATTAGCGGAAAATTAATTAAGTCACAAGCTGAATCAAAAGCTCTAGGTCCATGTATCTACATAAAAACGGTTGCAAAAATTTATACATGTACATATGTACATACATTCACAGTATTGGACATATCTATAGCACCCCCCTTTCAAAGCGATATTGTTTGCCACTTATGTTTAATTATTTGTTTTTAAGAATTTTCAATTAAAATACAGTTCATTCTCCAACAAAACCCATATAAACCAATGTTTTAAACTTTTTAAAAGACCGTAAAAAGGGCAACAAACTTTCCCTTAAATTTCAAACTTTTTTCTCAGAAGCTCTAGAATTTTTTTGAGTATACAGTTTTATAGCGCATTCAATTTTGTCCAATAATGTGCAAGTTTCAAGTCGCTAAAGATTACCGTTGATTTTTTAGAATTTTTTTGTCTTATTTGCTTCCATATATGGACTAAACACAATTTATTTTTATATGGCAGAAAACCGCAACATCCTCGGCGAAAAAAATTCTAAAAAATCAACGGTAATTTTTAGCCACTTCAAACTTGCACATTATTAGACTAAAATTGAATGGGCTATAAAACTGTGTATTCAAAAAAATTCTACCGCTTCTGAGAAAAAATTTTGAAATTTGGGTGAACATTTGTTGCACTTTTTTGCGGTCTTTTAAAAAGTTTTAAGCTTGAGTTTAAGTGAGTTTTGTGAGAGAATGAACTGTATTTTAATTGAAAATTCTTAAAAATAAATAAATAAACATGAGTGGCAAACGATATCACTTTGAAATGGGGGTGCTATTGTATTGGCCAATACTGTATATTAGAGGCTGCATGAATTCATTCAAAACGGCTTATGAATTGTTCGTATACAAAACGAATGAATGATTTTTGTTTAAATTTTTTTTAATTTGAGAATACATGGTACAATAAAAACAGGTAGAAGCCAATTTGACGTCAAACCTACACAAGTCAAAGTTTTCGGGAGAGTAAAAATAAAAATGAGCGTGTGTAAGGAAAAATAAAAAATTACATTTCTCTGGTTGACGTTTGTGTGTAATTTTGAAGTTTATTTTATGTGTTTATTTTCATTAGTTAAATTTGTTAACTTGTATGTTGTTTTCTGTTTTTGATTTATGAGCTGCAGTGTGGTTGGAGGGACTTGTCGGCATAAGGGTCATAGAAACAGCACTTAGCATCAAACGTGCCTTTCCTGTACCTCCCGGTGTATTTGTGAACTTTGCTCCTTTAAAATGTTTAACGCACGGCAAGGCATTTCGCTGCAGCTCTGCCCCACAGCTGCTTTCGCAACGCTCCTTACGCGAAGGACATTGAAGCACGTTAAAAAGATTAGTGGTATCTCCTTTATATTTAACACCACATAAAAAACGCTACAGGTGTTGTATTTTTAACACACACGCTAAGTATAAACCGCACAATACTACACAAATTCAAATGTTAATTTAAATTTTTTATTAACGAACATTCAAAAAAAAAACGACGATATGACATTCAAAGCGTAACAAAATATAGGAAATAAAAGAAAAACAAGTTGAGAGCAACGTCATTTTGGCTTCTACCTGTATTTATGTACCTTGGAGTGAATATGCGTAAACATTACCATAGTGGAATAATACATATATATGTATATATATTTTTTTCACTATGAACATTACAACATTCAAACAAAGTGAAAATAAATTGAATTGAAATAAATGACAATGTTTTGTATGAACCAATGGTACAATAAAAACAGGTAGAAGCCAAATTGACATCAAACCTACAAAAGTCAAAGTTTTCGGGAGAGTAAAAATAAAAATGAGCGTGTGTAAGGAAAAATAAAAAATTACATTTCGCTGGTTGACGTTTTTAAGTGAATTTGAAGTTTTGTTTTTATTTATTTATTTTCTTTAGTTAAAATTTGTTAATTTGTATGTTTTTTTTTCTGTTTTTGATTTATGAGTTGCAGTGTTGTTGAAGGGACTTTCCGGCATAAGGGTCATAGGAACAGCACTTGGCATCAAACGTGCCTTTCCTGTACCTCCCGGTACATTTATGAAATCTGCTGCTTTGAAATGTTTAACGCACAGCAAGGCATTTCGCTGCAGCTCTACCCCACAGCTGCTTTTCCAACGCTCCTTACGCCAAAGACATTGAGGCACGTTAAAAAAATGAGTGGTGTCTGCATTATATTTAACACCACATAAAAAACACCGCTTCAGGTGTTGCATTTTTAACACATACACTAAGTATAAACCACACAACACAACAAAAATTCAAATGCTAATTAAAATTTGTTTTTAACGGACAATCAAAAAAAAAAACTGCATGACATTTAAAGCGTAACGAAATATAGGAAATAAAAGAAAACCAAGTTGAAGTTTAAAGGTTTGGTTCTCATGAGAGCAACGTCATTTTGGCTTCTACCTGTATTTATGTGCCTTGGTATGAACCCTGCAAACCATTTTTTCAGAGTATTCTAAAGAAATTTTAAAGAATTCGTTAAGATTTAATTCGATTTTTTGCCGAATTTTCTAAAATGAAATAAATTACGCACACTTCCATTCTTTTGCGAAATTTCGGAAGAAAATCTGTGAAGCAACGAAAATAATGCTGCTATGTGAAGATTATCTTTCATAATTTTTCCAGAATTTTCTTTATTTTTCGTACAGAAATTTCTTTACGAGTTCGTGTCAACCCCTTCATATAATTTTCTTTGAAAATTCGTAAAAAAATCGTTACAGAAATCAGATACTCCTAACGATTTCGGGAACTTTGGTTTGCAGGGAATATCTAAAAATATATGTATATATGTATGTATTGCTGCGCTCCCATTACAATACGAATAAACTTGATGGTAGAAAAAACTTTTAAGCAGAATATACACAATCAGACTTGTATGCATCCTTGGTCGCATGTCAGTTCGGTATATGCGACACGTTGTTCAAACTCCATTTCGTTGTAATCGTTAATCACGGCATCGTTAATCACGGCATACGGATCTACTTCTTCCCATCAAACATTTAAGGGGTTTTCATCTAAAGTAATAAAGGGATGAATTGCTTAAATTTTTCAGTTTACCCGCCCTCTTTCATGAACGCACCTTGGTAAATAATTGCATAAAACTGTTTATTATTTAACTTATATGGCTAGTTACGTTTCATGTTTACCTCATCCATTGCGTTCATTCGCTTTTATGTGTCTAGCAAAAGCGACTACCTGGCAACCTGTAAGGGTTGAATTTTGCTGAAATTTATACATTTATCCACCAAAGTCGTTTGATAAACCGATAAACTTTGGTTAAATAGACTTCCATACAAAGTTTGACAGTTCATTTATCAAAATGATAGCTTTATCACTTTATCAAGTTTATCAAGAGTTTATCACTTTTGATTAAGACCCCTTTAGAGTCGCAAATTGGCCATAGTGGACTTTTATTGCCCTCACATACGGCTCATTATGGAGTCACATTTAAAGATTTTTTCAGATGTTTATCACTTGCACACGTTGCCAAAGGATCTCATTATACCCGAGCGCACTTGTGCACAAGGGTATTATAACTTTGTTCACATAACGGTTGTTTGTAACAGGCAAAACGAATCGAGATAGATATAGACAAATGTATACATAAATGATCAGAATGAAAAGAGAAATCGATTAAGCGGTGACTGTCTGTCCGTCCGTCCGTCTGTGCACACGATAACTCGAGTAAAAATTGAGATATCTTAACGAAACTTGGTACGTGGACTTCTTTTGGGCATAGGACGGATGGTATTGAAAATGGGCGAAATCGGACAATAACCACGCCTACCTCCCATATAACGGTAATTTTCAGAAATACGAAAAGTGCGATATTTTAGTAACGACTGAAGATAATTCACTCAAAATTGTTAATTACAATGAGTTTTAGACGAAAAATAAGAATATTAAAAAATTTTGGCAAATGGGCNGATCACATATATGTATCTCGCTAACCGTTCTAGCAATTTGAACCAAACTCGGTATGGTTATTGTGCTTGCCACATAAAAGCAAAGCGTTGAAAATTATTTAAATCGGACTAAAATTACGACCGATTTTCATATAACGGTATATTTCAGAAATGCTCCAAACTGCAATATTTCGAAATTTAAGGATGCTAATTTACTTAAAATTTCTACACCCGGGCTTATCGTGTAGCAGTAGCTTTCGGAAAGGTGGAAAACATATATTTAATAAATGCGCCGGGTATTTAATGTTCGGCTCCGCCCGAACTTAGACTTTCTTACTTGTTTTTGTTTAAAAGTACTTTTATTATTTAATAATGTCGAAATATCCACAATTGCGGGATATAAAGCTATATGGCCTCTTTTATTTCACTTATAAGGATTGGCCGAAATTATTATTTATCACATGTACACGTAGCACAAGGATTACACTTGACAAAAGAAGAGAGGCATCCACCGCTCTTCTCCAGCAACACGGAAAGGAGAATTCTACTTAGTATCGGTTATAATCCCTAAGCGCGGCCATTCTGTTTTGCGGGTCCACTCTTCTCCGGCAACACGGAAAGGCTCAAGTGAGTGCCTTTATCTAATAAAAAAAAAAATAGTGAAAACGCATGTCAAATTTCTCTTCAAAAACAGGGCTCCCTAGGGACCTATAAGGGCGGTTTATTCCCTCTCTAAAATGGGGTGTGGGATAGGCCACGCCCCTACAGCTACGCCCACCGCGCATACAACGACAGACCCTAAAGTAAAGTTTCCCACAAGCTTCCGTGATACATCATAAACAATTTAAACGATTAGAATTTGTTATTTTAATGATTTATCCTTATACATACATAAGTCGTTTACACGGTTTTGCATGGGTTCCTATGTTAAAGATTTCTTGCTTTTCTTTTTTTGCATAAAATAGTCTTTAATAAACGTATAATGCGAAATCAGTTTTAAAAAATTATATTTAGTGATTTATTTGTGAATCCAAATGTTTGCTGGGTTTATAATTTTCTATTCAAATATG